AAAGAGTGAAAAGAATATTAAACCGGTTGTGATTTGCAAGTAATGTTGTATGGTGGAATGATCTTCCAAAATTAATGATAAAATGACACTTAACAAAATTTTTAAACATAATATTCACTGATTTGGGATTGTTTATTGGACTAATCTTTTGGGAGTCTTCAGCATTTTTTTATTTTTTTTGTCAATATGGGTATATAACTTGAAAACCAATATGAAACTTGAGAAGACAATAACCAACTAATTAGTGAAGGATTGTCAACAGTTCAAAACCAAACTGCACACAGTGTAGTTACAGATCTCACCATTAAGTATAATCAATTTAATTTTAAATTTTGTTTTATGAAGTAATAAAAGAAAAAAGTTAACAGATGAGAATCATGCTGTTTAACTTTAAACTGCAGAGGATCAAAATCCAGAATTATCATATTTAACTGATATAACAATTAAATAAAACATAGTCACTAATTTATCATTATCATCTCAACACCAAAAATAAAATGAAACAACACCAAAAATTTTTTTATCATTATCATCTCTCACACTATCCGCTTTAGATTTGATATATTGTGAATAAAAGTTAGCTATATATTTATTTATTTATTTATTTTGTTAGAAAAAATTATTTTTCATCTTTTTTTTTTTATTTTTAAATATTTACTTTAATCCTTTAAATTTTAAATTTGAGTTAATGTCATTTTTCTAAAAGTAATAATCATTTTAGATGTAATTTTCAATATATTTTTAAAAATTGATTCAAAATATTAAACTTATATATATATATATAACATCTATTGAACCTGTTCAAATTAGGTCATAAATATGGTGAAAATAAGTGGGTCTCAAACAATAAAAAAAAATTAAAAGAAAAAGTTAATATCAATTTTTTCTATTGCTTGTAAGACTATATTATGTGTTTTTTCACTATATATGTAGGTCTTTTTTTTTCAATATTAATTAAATTTCATAATTTTTATAAAAATGAATTTATTAGCACAAGTTTCATGTCTTGAATTAGCAAAAAAAAAAAGTGATTGATGTCAAAAGAATAATATTACCTCAAATTTAAAAGTTAAAAAACAAAAATGAATTTTTAAAATATAAAAAATCAAAATATTTTTTTAATATGATAAATGAGGAAAATATTGAAAGAATTATATGAGAATAAAAGCTGTGTCGTAACAAGAATCACTATCCTGAAAGTAAATTTTTTATGAACTTCTAGTACAATCTAATAACATGTTCAAATTCATGCATTTGAAGTCAAATGATCTCACAAACAATGTCCAAAAAATTATAGAGAGAAAAACAATCTAATAACATGTTCAAATTCATGCATTTGAAGTCAAATGATCTCACAAACAATGTCCAAAAAAATTATAGAGAGAAAAAGATGAAATGTAAAGAATAATTTCTGTTACTCCTAAGATATGATGGTTGTATCCTTTTATAGAGTAAAATATTATAATGTTGACATTCTATTGTACTGAGACAAATGTTATAATGTTCTTGAATGACTATTAAAGTGACAAATCAAAAATTAAAGTAAAACAAATGCTGTTAATATTCATAAAATTAGAAGTCTTTATAGTTAAACGAATTTTTTTTTAAAATATTATTATACCAATAAATATATTTTAGTCTTCAAAGTTCATGGGATGAGATTACTTGCCAAGTAGTATTGGATAGATATGTTTCTCTTTTATGAGAAAAGAAAGTAATAGAGATGAGAGATGGGTGGTGCTAAGAAAAGGAAGAGGACTTTGCTGCTCGAATTGATTGAAGCCAAATGCATTTCCACAAAATTAAATCTTGTACCATCACTTCCTTTTCACGTACACATATGCAATGGAAATTCATTATTTTTAGTAAAAAAATATAACCTTTTTAGTAAAATAAAATTGAGAATTTTTAAGTAAAGATGATGCAAAAGCTCTATAGAAACATTTTATCAAATAAATCATTAGTTTGAATCGAACTAAAATCAATCTCTCTAAATATAATCTTGTTTAAATTTTTTTGAATAAAAAAGTAATTAAAAGAAGAGAATTTACCAAATAGCAAATTATATTTTTTTACAAAAATTAACCATCACAAAATAATTAAATGTTTCATATAATACTTATAAATCAGATAAATGTCATGAACAAATTAAAATTTTTAATTAATTAAATTTATTAAAAATATATAATAAAAAATTGGTGAAACCCACATTTTATTTAACAACTTTTTCTTAATTTTCTTAATAAATTTTAAATTATTAAAAAAATGCATTAAGATAAATATTTTAATTTTTTTTTTTTTTAAGAATAGGTGGTTTGATGACGATGGATTTGATCGATGATTGGGAAAATCCCAAATCCAACACTAAAGACACAGTCACACAGCATTTGGAATCTCTCCCTGAATTTGATCAAATATCGTGACACCATTTGTTTATTTTTTAATTTCATTTTTTTATTTTTGTCTTTTTATTTTTTTTTTAATGCTCAACCTTTGAATTGCACTGAAAAACGAGTTAAAAAAAAACACTAGAGTTTTGAATATGCATATAGACTTCATGTTTGACCTATCTGCTATAGGGA